TTACCATCATTGCTCAGACAATATTCCCCATCTTGCATTGGCAATGGGCTGGTTTTTGACATGAAAAGCCACATCTGTACAACATCTGGCCCGCTGTAACATGAAAGCTCAAAGCGGGAATGGTCTGTGTTAGATTCACATCCTCACATGTCTGTAAACATTTTGCCCCACTCTACTAGAAGTGGTGTCAGTCAGCTATACTATAAATTTAGTGCATTGTCTGAATGTGACCTTGTAATTTTTAAATGGGAAGAAAACAAAAATATTTATAAATATATTTAATTTTAATCATTTTTTTTATTTATTAATTTTTCATTTTTTTAATTTAATATATTTACATAATATTTATTTTAAAATTGTAAATAGTTAAAATGTTTTCAAAATGAATATATTGCTATTTTTTAAAGGATATTAAATAATATATTTTTTTAACCTTCTTGTTAAAATTTTAACACTATCTAGAGATTAATGCACATTCAACAATTTAACTTGGATGAGTTAATTCTTCCCTCTTTTTTTCTCTCTGGCTGTCCTCTAAACAACAAACAAAAATTGCATTATAAATAATACACACAATTTTTATATGTGTTGTATTCCAATACAATTTGCGTTGTTAAATGTTAAACACTTCAGTATTATACAAATATGAACACTTACCATGTGCAACTCATTTGATTCTTCATGGTTCATTGCAATGATGAGACATAATGACTCATAAAGTAATCATAATGTCTGTTAGTTTTAGGATGAAGAAGTCATTTTTTGTGTTGTTAAGCCAAGAACAAGATTTACAATACTGTAAAACACACAAACAGCAGCATTCAGTGAGTTTGTTTGGTTTATTTGGTCGTATAAACACTACTGACATGCGATCCCTGAAGATTTAGCAGATTAAATCTAAATTCTCCCTGTTATTGTGGGGCACTAAATAAGTAGAAAATGTCTCCAGACAGACTGACCATGAAGTGGTGGTATTTCTCTCCGCCTGCACTATCGCTTCCCGTTCTTGTGGTTTGTGTTTTTTTCTCCATTGCTGCGGCATGACATCAGGTCTGGAACTCATTACGCCTGTTTTGGCCATTCTGACATGAAACCTTGTCCCTCTCCCCTCTCGCCTGCCAGGCCTGGGTGAAATGGGAAAAACAAACTAGTAATCAGGGCTTTTCGGCTTTCTTTCTTGCCTGCCTTTTAGTACAGCATAAAGTAGTTAAATGTTTTAAAATCAGATATTTAGGAGTTCTCATTCATCTGGTCTTCTCATGTTTTCTTTGCAGATACAAACATGGTCGAAGCGCCCCACGTCCTCAATGTAATTCTGCCTGAGAATCAAACTCACCTCTTGCACCAAGTGGGCTACATCCTGGCAATCTTCCTGCTGCTTCTGTTAATGCTCATTGGCATCATTATGACCACGAGGCACTGCAGAAAAAAAAGTAGGATCATGTGGATGATTGGTGAACACATTTAAATATATAATTAGTACCTTTGAGATTATAGGCTTGAATCTTACTGAACTGTCTTTTGACATTTCATATTATAGGCCTATCTGTTTCAGGGCCCGAGTTTGAGGTTCGATGGTCTGAACGGTAAGGATTTAAATGGACTGATAAAGTTCTCCAGTTTTGTCAATTCAGCTTCACAGTATCTTATTCAGTGTTTTTGAGTCCGCAATAATCATTTTACACTCGCTAATACATAAAAAGCATAACTTTTGCTTTACTTGGCAGGGGTCGGAGGACATCCATTGAGCTCGATGCCACAGAACTGCAACCCTACAATCAGGAGGACTTGCGACTGGGTAAGTGCAACCACATTTTCCATGATTTCTCTTAAACCTGAAGTAGGTCATTTAAAAATCAAGACTTTATGAAAATAACCAGAAAAGATTGTAGATGCTGTAACTAGTGCTCTGGAAAGTCTAAAGAATCAATTTTTATTTCCTCCAGTATTCACAAGAACAAGACTCTTGGTTTAAATTACCACAGGATTGTTTTTTTTTAATTGGTTGTTTATTGTTTTTTAGCAAGGAATTTTCAGTGAAATATATATTTTTTTTTGCTGAATATCTCTCATCTGATGTATATTAATAGATGGTGATTTACCATAATTTTTCATATTTATATCAGCATATATTGAAGAAATCCTTGTATTTTTATTTAGACTACAAGAACAACATAATGAAAGAAAGGGCAGCGGCAAACAACTATCCCTCTCCAAAAGTTATTGATCTAAATGGAGGTAATGTGGTCTCAATTAGTTAATCTCGTTCCGGACAACCAGATGCATTGTGATGTATTTACACACTCTTCCTCTGTCTTCCTCTCTCTCATCTGAAGAAATGGAGAGAATGTCATGGAAGTGATTCATAGTGAGCTGCTGGCTGGTCCAGAGCGTGCTGAATGAGAAGGGATTCAAGGACTTTACATTTACATTGAGAAAAGGAATGGAATTACTGTCTTTCTGCAGCATAATTACTGCTTACATGATCTTATAATACTCAAATTCTGTTGATATTGGTAAGTCAATTTAATTGATATGTTTTTCTTATCATAATCACAGTGTACCGTAACGGTAATCTATCGAATTCAAGTTAAACATATGTAAAATGTGGGAGAGCAATTTGCTGAATTCAGCATTTGGTACTCTTCTGTGTTAAATTTCTACATTTAAAAAGTGAAATAGCTCAAATTCTGTGTGGTAGAAACCACTGTAAATGTCTGAATCTGAATGGAAATTTCATATAAAACTCAGGAAGCAAACAAATGGCTGTGGCTTCAGGTCTAAATAGTAAAAGATGGTACACAAGTGAACCTCAAAGGCAATTAAATGTGCTGTTTTTGTTATTCTGATGTATGTGTATCTATATGTTACTTCTCGTATAATTTTGAGCCCTGTTGACCCGGACTTCTTTGGTCCATTGTCTTTTTACAGTATTTGTTTTACAGCATTATGTAGATGGTACAGTTGTAGCTTATTTGCTTTTGCGATATGAGCAAGTCCCATTTATCTTTTTCCATCATCAGTTTTTCAGCAATTTCCTTGGTCAGTGATGTTCATTTACATACGTTATAAAGCATTTATGCAGTAGTTTTTATTTGATCTGGAGTGTACTTTTATGTTTAAAATGGCAATAAATGATCATGTTGGTATAGAGGACCAATGTACAAACATAATAAAGTTGATTCTGAAATATTTCATTCATTCTTAAGATTCATTCTTTCCATATGTAAGGCATTGTAGCTCTATTGTCTACATTCTTTACAAATGTTGTCTACAAATGTTGCGCCCCATTGTTACCAGATTCTGATCGCAGTGTCTTAATTGATATCATACGTCCCACAGGAATGGGGAACTATAGCTGTGCCGGTGTGCAATATTTAAAACAAGCTATGTTTTGTACATTTTGTAGTAAAACATTTTGTTTTACAACAAGTTATGTAACTTATGTAACATGTAAAATAAAAATACAAAATTATTTCTAATACCAATAATCTAGAAATCCAGTATTTTATGCCATTGGCCAAAATGTTTGCTGTAACCTGGAAATGTGGAGCAATAAATCATTTGACTGCATTAGGAAGTTCATTAAACTCACAAGTTCATCCAACTCAGTTATTTACTGTAAATGTTGAGCAGGGCATTTCAAGAGACAAATTGGTACTTTAAGTACAAACTGAGCAAAGAAAAATCATGTCCTTTGCAAAAAGTTGTTTTGATTGACCACTAAATCCACGAGCCAGTGGAACCCACTCCAATAAGTTTAATAAATAAAGGAAGCTCACTTTAATTGTCGTGTGCAGTGAGGCAGAGTGTGAAATGTAGAATGTGAGCACTGAGTTTAATTGACTCTGATTGGGGCCTGAAGTTTGTGTTACTTTTGGTAGGCCTGTACGTGTTTCCTAAACAATTTTCAAATAACTAAGGAATACAGGAAGTATAGAGAAGAACAGAGCTGCCCCCTGCTGTTAGAAAATATATTATAACACAAAATGTCTGTACCTGGTGCTCATGCTTGCTTGCACAACTTCAGAACATCTATCTATCTATCTATCTATCTATCTATCTATAAATTTATGAAATGTTTATAATAGTTAAACATTTAGTATTTTTCATTCATGTATGTTCTATTCAAATACAGTATTGAAAAACTGATTTGTAGAATGTTGCAATATAACAATACAATTAAATATAAAAGTTAATGTTATTTGTAAAAAAAAAAAAAAAGAGTAATTTATTTAATAAATGTTATAAGGAATGTTCTAAGGTTAGATGTGTTCCTCGCTGGATTGTGAGACAAATCTAATGTGTTTGATTTAATTATTATAATTCCTTGTTATTATATTCATAAAGGCAAATGGAATGGAAAAATGTATATGTTTAAACCGTTTAAAAACTGACATTAAAAAGATATTTGGAAACAATATCTAAAAGTAAAACCCTGAAAGCAATACAAAGAATGCAACTGTTTAATTTGTACAAATGTTGTACATCCAATTGCATAGTTCTGTATATTTTTCTATATATCTCTGACATGTTTGATTATATATTCTCGTTTGTATACTTTGTTTTGTTCTAAACAAACAAACAAATAATAAAATTAAATTTGTGTATCCATATCTGTGATATGGAAATCTATAACATCAATGACAGTAGTTCTCTGATTTGTCAATTTACAGACAACAATTGTATGCCATGTTTTTAAGTTTGCGAGTATTTTATTTTTTTTAATATATTTTTTAAATGCAATCTTTTGAAATCTAATGTTTTAAACCCCTTAATAAATAAACAGGCTTAAATACATAAAACCCCTTAAAATTTGCAAAGGTTTATCTTGCAAGGACATGAAGGACAGTTTTTAACAGAGTTGGCTTAGCGGAGGAGCCACAGCAGTTCAGTCGAGTGACTGTCGCGGGCTGTGTCTACCGCTAGAGGGCAGCCTACCTCTACGAGAAACCTGTAATGGTAAAATATCCTGAACTCCAGCTCATAGGGATGTGAACCGTCCCTTCCTGTTTTACTGGCGATCAGAGAGAAACATTGACGCCGTGATAGAGACGCGCAAACTCCGATTATGTCTGGAACCGCTCGCTCCGTCCAAGACCAGGATTTTTGTTTGCCTACGTGAAACCGGCAACCAGCAATGTCGCCTTATAGCGCATATATGACACTTGACGAGTTATAGTCTACAAATATATTTGTAATCGCGCTGCTGCAACCCTTGCTCCTTCTTCTGTCAATGATTGTCCTACCCATATAAGCCTACTCATGGCGGAGACCAAAATTATATACCATATCGACGAAGAAGAAACCCCTTATTTAGTGAAACTGACGGTTTCTCCGGAAAAAGTCACGTTGGCGGATTTTAAAAATGTCCTCAACAACCGTCCGGTCAACAGTTATAAATTCTTTTTCAAATCTATGGATCAGGATTTCGGGTAAGTATGGAGAAATATGATTTGCTTATATTGTAGTGTGGTTTAGTAAAAAAAAAAAAAAACACGATCACACCCATGATCGACTCACATGCCTTATAGACGCTGTCAAACCTGGAAAGCGTTTAGAACGTTTGGTTGTTCGTTTGTTGTGACGTTGCTACATTGTTACATTGTTGCTGCTGGCACCTGATTTGAACCCGTGTTCTAAAGTGCGCCGGTGCGTGTGCTCGACTCAGAACCCTCCACCAATGTGGCAAGCCGGTTTAACATTTATGTTTTCCTTTAAAGTGAAAGACGCGAGTATCAAATTATCCTAATGACCAGTTCAGAGCACATGAATAACCAAGAGTTCAGTGACTGTTCAAATGCGGAGTTTTGCGCATCGTGTGTGTGTGCGTGCAAGAGAGAGAGAGAGAGAGAGAGCGCGAGAGAGCGCGAGAGAGCGTAAGAGAGAGCGAGAGAGAGAGAGAGAGAGCGCAAGAGAGAGAGAGAGCGAGCGAGAGAGAGCGCGAGAGAGAGAATTTGAAAAATAATGTGTTTTTTGAACATTAAAGCATGTCAACATATTCTGTTACACCAAATACACAAAATAATGATCTTTAAAAAAGCATCATATGACCCCTTTAAACGACTTGCCGAGTTTTCACCGTGGAAGGGGCGTGTCAATTGAAACATGGCTGAAAAACGTATCTATATTATATCTATTATATATTATATATTGTTGGACAGGAGTTTACTGGATTGAAATGATGTGATCGCAAAAACCTGCATCTTTTAAGCTATTGTTTTTGTTATAATGTACTGATTCAAATTAGTAATCAATTATTAATTATTATTCTACCTGACTCAGGGGTAGCCTAAGTGTTTCCCAGGTGCACTTGAAGGCCTTACTAACTACTAGTCTTTACATTGTTACATTTCGTAATTACTAGTAAGTAATCCAGTACTGGCTAGTATCCTTTCAATTTCAAGTTTAATTTTAATTGGATATTTATTGGACTAGTACTAATTCCAGTAGTTACTAGTATTTATTACATCACTCTCTAGTGATTTTTCAGTACATACTGCTATATTTTTTTTTTTACTTATATTTTCCGTTACCCCCCAAAAAAAAAAAAATGTTATTGCGCTTTTTACCAGCAACAATAGAAGTTACTTCAGTATTAAGATATTCACAATAAAGTGACTAGTAGCAATCATACTGAACCTGAAGAAACTCTAAAGTACTGTGCCCGGTTGCATAAAGCACCTTAAATTTTTCCCTTAAGTATGAGACTTAAGGCGTGATTTCCCCTTACCTAAGGGATTGACTTAATTAAGGGTGTTGCATATAATCCCTTAAGTACTTCCCTTAGCAAAGGGAAACCGTTAAGTGTTTCACGACAGCGACCCAGGTTTTTCCATTAAAAAATCGACTGCTGCCATGGTCACGTTATTTGTTAATGCAGATAGCGGTGTACGTTTTCACAGAAAACAATATAACATGGATAAGGAAAACAAAAAAGAAAACCAAATATGAAAGAAAAGGACCAGACGAGACGGAAACCCAAATTGATAATTCACTCAAAACTGAAAATTCTGAAAAATCATTTACTCATCCTCATGTCAGTTCAAACCCATAAGACTTTTATTCATCTTTGGACAACAAATAAAGATCTCTCATCATTTCTGTCTATGTAGAGGTTTTCTAGTGTGAATAAATATATATTTAAATGAAAAGAGACAAGATAGTCTATGCATGACGTTTTATTCGTATCCAAAATGATGTGAACATTAAATAATAATAATAATTCATTACATTTATATAGCGCTTTTCTAGGCACTCATTGTCAGGGGGTATCTCCTCATCCACCACCAGTGTGCAGCATCCACCTGGATGATGCGACGGCAGCCATAGTGCGCCAGAACGCCCACCACACACCAGCTTATTGGTGGAGAGGAGACAGAGTGATGAAGCCAATCAGCAGATATGGGGATGGTTAGGAGGCCATGATGATCAGAGGCCAATGGGCAGATTTGGCCAGGATGCCGAGGTCACACCCCTACTCTTTTCGAAAGACATCCTGGGATTTATAATGACCACAGAGAGTCAGGACCTCGATTTAACGTCTCATCCGAAGGACGGTGCTTGTTGACAGTATAGTGTCCCCGTCACTATAGGACCTCAGTTTAACGTCTCATCCGAAGGACGGTGCTTGTTGACAGTATAGTGTCCCCGTCACTATACTGGGGCGCTAGGACCCACACAGACCACAGGGTGAGCACCCCCTGCTGGCCTCCCTAGCACCTCTTTCAGCAGCAACCTAGTTTTCCCAGGAGGTCTCCCATCTAGGTACTGACTAGGCTCAACCCTGCTTAGCTTCAGTGGGTATCCAGTCTTGGGCTACAGGGTGATATGGCTGCCGCTAAATTAAAGCGCTAAACTCTCATGCAGTGTGTGTTTCATTCATACTCGAAGCCGGAGGGCGCTCTCGCGCAGAAAGTCCAAACCGGATTTATAGAAGTAGCCTATTTTATAAGCTGAATAAAAAGCAGAAACGTAAACACAATAAACTCACGATTGCAGCAATATATGGTTTATGTGTGTTTTTCAAGTCATCTCCAGGTAACATGTAGGATAATACAGGAATCAAATATTATGGAATATAAATTTGCTCTCAAGTGTGACGCACTCACGTTTGAGCTAATTATGTGCTGTATGTAATTTGATCAGGGTTTATATGTGAATAAATGCGTAAATTAAAATCTGTTTAACATATAAAGCGGCCGATCATGACTTGTAGAAGACTTTTGTGTAACACTTAAGATGACGTCTTAAAGAAACCCTTAAGTAACACTTAAGGGTTACTTTCAGCAACAACCGCGATCTTAAGGGAAAATTACACTTAAGGTGCTTTATGCAACCGGACCCTGGTGACTAAGGGTGCTTTCACACCTGTAGATCGATTGCTTTGTTCCGAAACAGAGATTAAAAATTATTACAATGTTGCTTTTCATTCTTGGTACAGTTTGCTTTCACACGGCAAAGTTTCTAAATGGACCAAATTTGTTAATACAAGCCATGCGCGAGTAAACTGTTCTCTCATTGATTTTGAATGGCGAAGATGTGCTCACCCACAAACATTCACAGGTTCATTTTGAAGTATTAGCAAAACAACAAAGCTAAAAAAAAACAACATATGCCCAAACGAACCGAGCTAAGGGGGGGGGGGACGTGCCAGGTTCCGAAACAACGGGCCAGGTGTGAAAGCACCCTAATTGAATAGGTTGAATTACACAATTACACAAATGAAGTAGGTACTAGTAGTTATTAGTAAAATTGAGAAAGATACCAGTCACTGTTTGATTACTTAAAATAATTACTAGTAGCATAATAAGTACTAGTTAATTTTAATGAAAAATGTTAAATGGCTTGCCACAGCACCACACATGCACTGCAACAGAGCTAATTCTGTCAACTCCAGTGGCATGCTTCAGTTGCCACATGGTACAAATATATCATGGTTGTTTCCTAATACAGTGTCTTGTGTTGTAACTCCATTTGACAGTGACTTGTGCTCTGGTTTCCCTCGATTTGAAGCTTTTGAAGTTAAAGCCAGGCCTTCAGAGGCATCGTAATAGAAAATCTGAACATGATAAAGTCAGCCTGCTCTTTGAAAGTGACAGCACCTTTTATAACTCTAAAACTACAGCACTCTCAATTACGTTAATTGAAATTGATCAGAATTACTTCCATGTTAGACTGATGGGTCAGATGCACTGACCAGTGTTGACCAGAAGAAAACATCAAACATAATTTTTAACTCCACTGAACATCTCACAGGTCCTAATTTGTTCAGACAGCAGACTCATTAGTATAGCAGATTTTCAGTCATTTTCTGTCACTTCAAAATGACCAGCAATAGACTGAGGTTAGTTGAGGGGAATTGAATGACTGTGAACCAGCAGCTGTCAGGCAGAACTGTCACTTTCTAATTTGTCAGTGTCACCCAACATGAATGGATCAGTTGCCTAATATTTCCAAATGGCAAACAGACTGTCAGATAAAACGAGCAGCTGTCCTTTCAGCTTTCTATTTTTCTGTGATTGTTAGACATTGTTCATTTTGAAATCGAGTCAAATTTGAGAAGTGTTCATAGTCATTAATAATAGGTCACCTAGTGTTTTGAATGGGCAATATTCTAACAATACTGAAGCTGTAGCACAATAATAAGTTTATTCTGCAAGAAATTATGTTCCTTAACAGAAACCGTGTCTGTTGTACATATTACATTATAATAGCAATAAGAATAGCAGTGAATAATTACAAGCCATTCATTTTTTGGTACTTAAGCAAATACCACATAATCAATTTTGGGTGGCATTGGAAGTTTTTAGTTTCTTTTAAATTATTTTCCTCACAAGTTAATTGAACTGACTGAAGGACTCCTGTTCAAGACCAAGAATGATAACTATAGCTATAACGATAACTATATTAGTTTTCACACCTTCCACAACTTCACAACAACATTGTTGACTGTTAGTGTTTTTATCATTCATCAAAGAATCAAAATCTGAAAAAATTCTGCAAATGTTTCCAACAATATTGTTTCTCTCTTTTGTTATCGCTGTCTCTGTAATGTGATTTGTGAATGGTAATTCACAGTGACGGTAAAGTGACAGTGTTCGGCTGTAATATCTGCTATGTAATGTCATGGATGGATAAATAGATACATTTGATCTAGGCTTCCCATGTTAACTTCTAAGGAGTCTCTGCATTATTTATGTTCAGAGATGACTGTCTTATTTAATCTGAAAAAAGACACACAGCAGGCACAGATGTTTAGTGATATGTCTAGGATAGGAATGCTCCTCTGCAGTAGGAAATGTGGTTATTTCTCAACATTTTAATTTGAAGGCCTCTTTAATCCTACAAGGCTATTAACCTGCCATTCATCAGACCCTTTTAAACTCACATATGCACCACAACACATGTTGGTGTTCTAGCACGATCTTCCAAA